GTGGCTTGTCTTCTGAGTCAGCTGTTCCTATGAAAGCAACTGTGGACGTGAGTGGACCAATCAATACTTAGACGAAGCCACAAATTTACAGTCAAACTCTTTTCTATCCTCCTCATAAACGCATTTCAGTTGAAAAGCACAATTTCAGACCCGAGGTGAGGCAAACCATCCAGCTGAACTTAAATGGAAATAAAAAGAAACAAAGCATAATAATTCATTGTGTAATAACAAGACCTCTAAATCCATTCTGGAGTCCAGAGGCAGAGAGTATAATTTATGATGCCTGTGAAGACAGGCACACTTCATGGTCTAAACTGCTGCCATGCAGGATCGGTGTCGGAGGAGGGACTGAAAACTGGGTTCTCCATAGTCCTCAAGATGGAGGCGGCTTGTTGTGGTCTCGCGAGCTGTAATTCATGATCATGGGTAAGAACAGTGCAGAGTTGTTGTGTTTCACAGATACATTGTCCCAACTGCCTTTTGAGTTCCTTCTGTGGGTTGTCTGGCTTGGACCTGGTTCTAGTTTTCAGGGTCAATGTACTTTCTCTCGGGATGTCCACAGATGAAGCATTTAAAATAATTATTAATTCATTTCTTTATAAGCCTTATTTTCACACTAATTTTGGATGGGGCATAATACAAGCCACAGAGATAAAAGATGAACAAAACAGGCCTTGTGAGGAATAGAGCCTGTGGGCAAAGGCAGCCGGTGGTCCCATCATCACCAAGGCAGCTGTGCCAAGCGCTGTGTTCTTCATGCCATAAGACTGAATCAAGGGAGGTGACCTCCTGGGAGGCATGACGATGTGCAGGGTCTTATGGCCGAGTAGAGAACTGTGGGCATCGTCCTAAGAACAATTGGAAATAATGTTGATGTCCCTCAAAATGGGAAAGATTTTGGCCAGCAGGGCAACATGATCAGTTGGACTTTTCTAACCCACTCTGTTGGGTTAGAAGGTATAAGAGTGAACATGGATACTCAGATAGGAGTGGACAGAAGTCTTCAGGGCAGCCATGATAGCAGCTTGGACAAGACCAATTATGGAGATGTAGAGGAGAGAGATTTAGGAGGTGAAATCTTCAGGGCATGGTGTAGGATGACCTTCAGGTAGGAGGATAAAGGATCGACAGGAGTTTGGGATGGATTTTATTTTTTTTTAATTTATTTTTTTAAATGTTTTATTTATTTATTCATGAGGTCAGAGAGAGAGAGAGAGAGAGAGAGAGAGAGAGAGAGAGAGGCAGAGGCAGAGGGAGAAGCAGACTCCCTGCCTAGCGGGGAGCCCGATGCGGGGCTTGATCCCAGGACCCTGGGGTCATGACCTGAGCCGAAGGCAGACTCTTAACCATCTGAGCCACCCAGGCGCCCCCTGGGATGGATTTTAGAGTTCTGGTTTGTCTAACATGGTTCTAGTTCCTAAGAAAATGGATGTTGAGAGGATCAGCGTTGGAGGAGGTCATGAGTTAATTGCTTGGATATGTTAAACATCCATGACACACGCATGAAGAGATGCCCAGGAGGCTGTTAGTTGTGTCTGGGTTTGGAGCACAGAAGGGAAGCCTGGGCTGAGATATAAACTTATGATTAGACTATAGGTGGCAATTAAAGCCGTGAGCACAGAGGAGATTTTCTAGAGAGAGGATATATATGCAGAGAAGGAGCTTTGAGAGTCTTTCGCGGTGAGTGGCCTGATAAAGGAGGGAGGGTCTCTAGATGGTGATGAAGCAGCCAGGAGTTTGTCGGAAGGTGGGCTTTGTTACTTAATCCAGGGAGAGAGTCTCCACATGGAAAGTTCTGCTCTGAGTCCAATGGACACTGAAGAACACTCGTTGGAGCTGTCACTGTCAGTGGTGATTATACCAATGACTGCTTTAAAGGAGCCATGTGGGCACAAGGCTATGGGGGGCCAGTTAGGAATGAGTGGTGGGTGAACAAATGGAGACAGAGTGGTAAAGATGAATCTATTGGTGTTTGGCTAAATTGAGATGAATAAGACCTAATTTCTATTATCACTTCCGATATAGAAGAATATGGAGCAAAGGTCCTTGGGTTAATCTACCTGGGACAGGTGCTCCCTCCCTCTTAGAAGAGCGGTTCTCCGCATGCTGGCATGTGGTCTGGCCATCTGGCACGCATTGTGCTCACTGTGCGAGCAACCATGGGCAGCAAGCATGGTATTAGCAGTGCTCCATGATACAGATGGACAGTCCCAAGAAGCCTGGGCCCTCTGACCTCGGGGCGTGGAGAGTGTTCTTATTTACACCCGTTGCTTCGTTTCCTTCTCTCTTAACTCTGGACATGAATGGCAAGGTGGAGGATGAATGCTTTCCCTGTGATTTGGGAATGGCAGCTTGGGCACTTTGTGAGTTGTCTCTTGACTGCAGCTTTTCACATCAGGGTGACATGGGGACATTCTGCTCTGATAAAAATTGAGCCTCACCACTGCTCTTAATAGGCTTGATTTAATGCAACTTTCACAGAAATTCTGCATCGCCAATTGACACATAAGTAAAGGAATTCCAAAATGAATATACTCTGCTCTGAAGCAAAATGCCTGTCAATACTTGGCCCTGAATCTCAGACATAATCTCTGGAACTTATACAATTTATGAAGGCTGCTCTTATTTCATTTCTTCAGAGTTCCAAGACTTGCAGCTTAATAACACGTCACGTAGCCTGTGCCACTGCATAACAGGCTGTGACAGCTCTTGAACACATTTTGGAAGTTTACTTGGTGTGACAAGAATGAATATAAAATTGTTTGCAATAGATATACCAATAGAAATAAAATTTTTATTTCCATCAGGAAAGCTCTCACCCATGGCACTGGCTGTCACTCAGCGTGTGGAGATGGTCTGGGCAGGATCTTCCACTCCACCCACAGCACCCCCCACCCCTAGGTCAAGCCTGATCCAGAGAGCAGGACTGTCAGGAGGGTCCCCACTGCTTCCCAGGTCCCATTCTCTCCTTTATTCTTCTTCAGTCATCGAACAAGCATGTTTTGGCTCATAAAGTTTTTTCTCAAATGCCTCTGCCTGTGATGTAGAAACCCTCTTCTGAATGTGGGGGACGCTGCCAGTCCACAGAAGTGGTGGGGAAACACCTGCTGATTTTGTTGGTATAGACTAGGAGCATGTTTGGTATTCTGCTAGGTCCAGTCTCCTCCTGGGTAATCGGGCATCACAAGGGCCTGGTTGCCACATCTGAAATAGGTCACTTCTTTTCACTTTGCTAAAGCACCGATGCTTGGTCTTTTCCCCTTTCTCCCTTAATTCATTCATCAGATACCAATTTAGCTCACCTCTCTCTGATTCCTTCTGTCTCTCTGTTACTGTCTCCCTCTCCCCCCCCCATCTCTCACCATACATTTTTTTTATTATTGTGTGTGCTGAATAATGCACGTGCATGGAGGGGGCGGGGAGGGAGGTGGCCTCAAATAGTTCTAAGGGTGATAACTGGATGGAAGACCTACAGGGAAGGATATAACTTCTGACGCACAACTTCTGGTTAGCTATGGGTGCATAAAACAACACAAAAAACTTAATGGTGTGAAGTGCAAATCTCTCCTTAGGCTTGTAATTTTGTGGTTCCAGATTTTGGACAGAGCACAGCCTGGCGCCTCACTGGAATGGCTTGAGGGGCTGGAGCTGGCTGGGTCCACTCAACTAGGCTCATACTTCTATGGCCGCAGTTCTTCCCCATGTGTGGTGTGTCTGGAGTCACAATGTCAAGATGGTGTCTGGCCCTGAGGCTGGGACGGCTAGACTGGCTGGACACTAGCTGGCATTGCTGTCTCTCCACAAAGCCTCTCCTGGGGCTGATAGGGGCTTCCTCAAGGTGTGGCAGCATAGGGTAGTCAGGCAGCTGGCTCCCCCCGGAGAGAGCATTCCAGTGACAACAAGGGGGCACTGGCCAGTTTCTCATGGCCTGGGCTGGTCCCTTCCATTGCACTCCATCAGTCACAGCAATGACAGTCCCCAGCTAAGACTCAAGGGGAGGGACTAGAGACCCACATGTCGTGGAGGAAATGTCAAAGAAAATGTGTCTTCTTCAGTCTGCCACAGGAGCTCCTGCTGGGCTGCCATGCAATTCACTGGTTTGCGTGGAGCTCACGGAGATCAGTTTAGGGAGAGCTGAACAGGAAGGAGAGAGGAAGAAGTCTGGATTATCTGCGGGTTAGAACCCCAAGGAAAGCTGCTGAGGGAATAAAAATGAATTACCCTGCACCGATGTCAGAACATTATTAAACAGCAGCTCAGGCACGTGCCCCCAAAACCTGCATGCTGTTTCCAGGATTTCATTTCTTGAAAATTGAGGATAAAAGAACAGTCTCATTGTAGACTACCTCCACATTGTAAAGTTGCCACAGGGAACCTGCAGGAAAATCCCCATCCACACTCACTCCCAGGAAGGGTGGCCCCTCTTGGTGTCCTCTACTTCCCTTGCTCAGGGCTGAGATCCACGTGGCCTGGCACGAGGCCCCTGTCCCTCGGCTGTCAGGAAGCTCAGGAAGAAGGGCTGGGTCTGGTTGTAGCAGCACTTAGACTGGGTTGTCCCTCCGGCCTCATCACATCGCCCCTCCCACTGCCCTCAGCAGCCACACCCAAGGGCTGGCAGGGGTCTCTGGTCTTTTTATTTTTGTGTAAGTGCATTTTCATTTTATAGCATCAGTGGCTTGGGTGTAAGGAAACATGCTACTAATTCAAACTGAAGGATTGTTTCATAGAGGAAGAGGATCTGACAGTGGCCATTTACAAATTCCAGCCGTGGAGCTGAGTTCTGTGGTCAGGTACGTCCCTGGTGATGCCGTGGGAGTGAAATGTGAGGCTCGGGCATTTCTGAGGGATTCCCAGAACTGTTGCACCTCCGGGGCCCCCACGGATTACGGTGTCATTTCCGCATTTTCCTTCGCCCTCCACTGGGAGGCATGCAAAATACATCAGGGAGGACAGTCAGTGAGTACTGTATGCATGTATAAAATGGTGCCTTTCAGAATGGGTCCACTGGGAACAGCGCCTGTGAACCCGCTCAGAGTCCATCACTGACTGACTGTCTAACGTACAAAGAGGATTACGCGGCTGTCACGGAGGAAGCTGCACCAGGTGAAACGAGCGCTTGAGCCGTCACATTCCATCTAAATCAGTGAGTAAGTGGAAATCACAATCCAGAGGTTTTTCAAGCACGTTTCCCCAAATTTGCATCTGACTATTCTTAATTACGGATACTGTCACAATCCCATCCTTAATAAGATCAGAGAATTTTTCTCTAGGGAGAAATAATTCTTATTACAAACCAGAGTGCCGGCAATGCGAACATCATGGTAGTAAAGGAAAATAGTCATCAAACATGTTTAATCTTGAGTGGCAAATGAGCACCTTCAGCGCCTTCCCTGGGAAGGCTGAGGCAGCCGGCTGGGGAGGAGGGTCTCTGGGTAGTTAGAGGCAACACGGCAGCGTCTAGGCAGCCGCAGAGATGCACGGGAATGAGGGACAGAGACCCTTGTGGGCTGTCTCCTTCACTCTCCGTTCCTCAATTCCTGCTCCAAACCCTTGTAATATCTCACTTCGAAGTATAACATAATAAAGAGCAGATCTTCAAAATCCCCTCTTCAGAAGGAGGGAGTCCTGCATTAAAAAGAAATAATTCAGCCCTTCATTTTACCACAGATGAAAAGCTTTACATCTTCTTGGGCAGGGGAGTGGACCTGACCTTTCGGTAGGTTTGCTGGCACCCTGGGCTCTGCCCCCCACCCACTGCTGAGGGGTCTGCCAAAGCCATGTGTGTGGGGAATCCTGGTGGTTTTCCAAGAGGGAGAGAAGCGACGCCCATCTGCTCTTGTGGTTGCACCCTTCCCAACCCCAGACCGCAGCTCAGCGCGTTAGCATCACTAGGTGTAATATAAGAGCACACGGCTGAGATCCTAACCTGGTCTTCTCCCCCCTGGATTGATTGATTGATTGATTGATTGATTTTTAAAGATTTTATTTATCTATTTGACAGAGAGAGACACAGCGAGAGAGGGGACACAAGCAGGGGGAGCGGGAGGGGGAGAAGCAGGCTTCCCGCGGAGCAGGGAGCCCGACGCGGGGCTCGATCCCAGGACCCTGGGACCATGACCTGAGCCGAAGGCAGACGCTTAACGACTGAGCCCCCCAGGCGCCCCTCCCCTCTGGATTTAACCCGTCTGCCACCAACTCTGACCTTTGGAGAGCTAAAGCACCTTTCAAGTGCTTCCCTGCCTTCACTTGTCCTGTCCAAAGATATTTCTTATCCCTCACCCGGGCCATTTTCTCTGAACTGGTTTCTCCTTCCTCACCTTCCTCCCCAAGCTCCACCTCTAGTCTCTTCCAGAATCATTTCCTAACAGCAACCCACCTACCTTCCTTCCTTTTCTTTCTCTTTCATCTTTTTCTTTCTTCCTTCCTTCCTTCCTTCCTTCTTCCTTCCTTCCTTCCTTCCTTCCTTCCTTCCTTTTCTTTCTTTCTTCCTTCCTTCCTTCCCTCCTTCCTTCCTTCCTCCTTCCTTCCTTCCTTCCCTCCTTCCTTCCTTCCTC